TTCTAATGAGCCAATCATGAAAAATGGTTCTCTTGATTAATGACCAAAGGTATAGTCATGTAGTGAGGAAGGCCCACGAGTCAATGGGATTTAGTGGTTGGGCCTTTGGGCCTTGACCCAGTGGCAGTGTTGGCAAACACTACAATTGATGAAAAGGGATTTAGTGGGGACCAAAAGAGGGATATTGAGGGATGGTGTCCTCTATGTATTGGGGCATTATAAAAATATTAAGGTGCAATTATGGGATAATCACTCATGGATGGATGTCTTAGTCTTGGAAAGACAAGATTGTGTTGTAAGTGGTCTTAGACTACTAATGGGACAAAATCAACTGGATATAATAGATTGAAATATTAGTGGTACCTTTGGATGTTGGAAGTGAGATTGAATATGTGAAATATTTGGATTAAGTGCCAAGCCAATGTGGTCTTGAGATTACATATGGGGGTAAACAAGTACCCTAAGGTAGATGAGGATCTATAGAGATTGTTGTAAGCCACAAATTTTTCATTTCCAATTCGTCAGCTTACCTTGTCTATCTGACTAACACCGCCTTGGCCTTTGCTAAATTCCCTCGCCAAAATTCCTACCTATTGTACCAGCTCCTACTTGGTCCTATTTGGTTTCAGCTACTCACTACACGAGCAACGGAGTATTAGCCATCCATCCATGGATTCCCAAATTTTTCCCAATCCCCCTCCCCGGGTTAGACTAGATTTAAGGCTACACTCCCCGCAGGCACAAGCACTCAAGCACACCAAACTTTTAGGTTCCTAACATCCTTTGGTATAACAATGCTTTATCATGGGACCTTCTAAATCCCAAACCTTAGGTGCAACACTTGCGTCAGGATGCCGAGGGAAAACACCGTGGCCTAATGGCTTGGTATAGGTACCTCTACCCCCCCAACCCAGTATTATTCAAACCCAAGGACGTTTAACCCTAAGTATCCCAAGACCTTTAACCGATTGGAAAAAGGGGTGCACTTTTATTCATGGGCCCTTTCTCTCTATATTTGAACCTCATGGATCATCTCTCAAGTTTTTCTCTTTAGTTGCTTACAATCCACCACGCTTCCCTACAAATTCACGCCTTCATGAACGGAAGCTAAGAGCCGCAACTCTCCCGAGAGCCCCGCTCTCTTGACACCCTATCCCTCGGGTCGAGCCCAGCGGGAGCAAACTGGACTTGCCAAATGTCAATCAATATATGGTATGATTCCCCTAGCCAACCTATCCCTTGGGTCGAGCCCAGCGGGAATAAACTGGACCTGCCAAATGTCAATCAACATATGGTATGATTCCCCTAGCCAACCTATCCCTCGGGTCGAGCCCAGCGGGAGCAAATTGGACCTGCCAAATGTCAATTAACATATAGTATGATTCCCCTAGCTAACCAACAGAGTTGGACCTAAGACCCCTCTGATACCAAATGTAAGCTCCTGAATTTAGACTTCCTGGGAGGTCACCCAACTCAATACTATTCAAACCTAAGGACACTTAACCCCAAATATCCCAAGACCCTTAACTGATTGAAAAAGGGTATTCATGGGCTCTTTCTCTTTATATTTGAACCCTATGAATCGTCTTTCAAGTCATTCTCTTTAATTGCTTACAGGAAGGCCCAAGCCCCTAGGAAGGGCAAGGACCAATGAGCCGCAAGGTACTCAAGTGGGGCACCACTTTACATGAATTGGGAACACCATAGTTGGTTTCCCTTCCGAGAGTGGGAGCTGCTCTTAAGCACTTCCTTGGGTGGCCCCTCTGGCACCACCTGAGTCTATGCTCACTCCCACCCAAAGCCCCTTGGCCCCAGTCTCAACCTCAAGTCAGTTTGGAAGTACCATTGGAGAGTTCCTTCAAGACTAGTGTAAGCCACAAACTTTTCCATTCCAATTTGCCAGCTTACCTCGTTTACATGTCCAACACTGCCTTAGCGTTTGCTAAGTTCCCTCGCCAAGGTTCCCACCTATGGTACCAGCTCCTACTTGGTCCTACTTGGTTTCAGCTACTCATTGCACGAGCAACGGAGCGTTAGCCATCCATCCACGGATTCCCAAATCACTCCCAATCCCCCTCCCTGGGTTAGACTGGACTTAAGGTTCGGCTACACTCCCCGCAATCACAAGCAGCCAAGCACACCAAGCTTCCAGGTTCCTAACATCCCTTGGTACCACAAGACTTGATCATGGGACCTTCTAAATCCCAAGTCTTGAGTGTAACACTTGCTAAACACCGTGGCCTAGCGGCCCGGTATGGGTACCTCTACCCCCCCACTTCCATCCCGAAGGGAAGGTCCAAGCCCCTAGGAAGGGCGAGGACCAATGTGCCACATGGTACTCAAGTGGGGCACCACTCCATATGAGCCAGAAGCACCGCAGTCGGTTTCCCTTTCGGGAGTGGGAGCTGCTCTTGAGCACTTCCTTGGATGGCCCCTCCGGCACCAACCGAGTCCATGCTCACTCCCACCCATGGCCCCTCGGTCCCAATCTCAACCTCAAGTCAGTTTGGAAGCCCCACTAGAGAATTCCTTCAAAACTGGTTCCTAGACCTCACTATCCTTACTATACTTTTGGAACCCCCTGCAGCCCCCCCCCCCCCCCCCCCCTGGGAGACACACGCTTTGGGCTTTCACCCCTTGACCTATATTAGTACTTGGACTCAGTCTCTGGCTCGATCTCGGACTCGATCTCAGATCCGACTTCGGATTCAGTCTCGGACTCGATCTCGGACCCGATCTCAGACTCGATCTCGGACCCGATCTCGGACTCGACCTTGGACTTGACCTCGGACTTGGTCTCGGACCCGATTTCGGATCTCGGACTCTGTCTCGAACTCGGTCTTGAACTCGGTCTCCGAGTCGGCCTTGGACTCGATTCCGGACTCTATCTCGAACTTGGTTCCGGACTCTATCTCGAACTCGGTCTCAGAGTCGGTCTTAGACTCGATCTCAGACTCGGTCCCATTCGATGAACTCTTTATCATTTTGGTCATGCTTTTGGGGATCCTTTAGCCTACGACACCTCGGCGAGTTGGTTCCTTACAACTGGTTCCTTGACCTCACTATCCCTACTATACTTTTGGAACCCCCTGTAGCAGCCCCCCCCGGAGACACCCCCCGACCGACCTGTATTAATACTCGGACTCGGTCTCGGACTTAATCTCGGACTCGATCTTGGACTCGACCTCAGACTTGGTCTTGAACTCGATATCGGACTCGACCTTGGACCCGATCTTGGACTCGACTTCGGACTTGACCTCGGACTTAGTCTCGGACCCGATCTTGGATCTCGGACTTTATCTCGAACTCGGTCTTGGAGTCAGCCTTGGGCCTAATCCTAGACTCTATCTCGAACTCGGTCTTAGAGTCGGTCTTGGACTCGATCTCAGACTTGGTCCCATCCGATGAACTCTTTATCATTTCAATCATGCTTTCGGGGATCCTTTAGCCTACGACACCTCGGGGAGTTGGTTCTTTACAATTGTGAGAGAGACTCCTTAAAGAAGTCATATGTATGGTTATGTGATTAAAGTAGAATAGAAAAGTTTATCCTTTATAACATGTTTGGATTAAAAGTTTTGACTCAAACAGTTGAGAATAGAAGTGGAACTTCCAAAGAAGCATTTAAGGGACGAGCATGAAAATATCAAAGAATGAGTATAAAGTGATTGATAAACAAATCTTTAGAAAGAGACAAAAGAATGATTAATACGTGGCAAGTGTTATGACATATGGAAGTGTTGAGACTGAAGTCCTAAAACCTAAAAGCTCAAAGTGGAATGATGTTGGAATCAATTTACCCCATCAAGAAACTAAATGTTTGAAGTGTCAAATATAGAGATATCTAGGGCTTGATATATCCAAGGTTGGATATATCAAGTTTCTATGGGATATTAAAGGGAGGATTTTAGAGGAATTAATATGACTAAGGAAGGCTGTATTTATAATATAAATACAAGGGAATTTAAGGTTAAAGTGAATATGAATGGACAAATAAAATAACTTAATTAAGTGTTTAAGAGTTGACTCTTGCTCCTTTAGAAAATTGAATAATCAATGCTCCCAATCTAAATATATGTGACACTACTTATTTAGATACTTTGACTCAAGAAAACCTCACTTTAGCCATGTGGCTAATATTATTAAGACTTAGTAGATGGGCATTTATGACTTGACCTAGTAGCAATATTCACAAGCATTTAATGGGGATTAAAAAAGGGATATTGAAAGGATAATATTCCTCTATATCTTAAATCATTTTAAGATGCTATAGAATAACCACTTGCAGAGGTATAGGTAGTCTTGGATTACCAATGAAACAAGTGAAATTGACATGACTTAGCATAAGATGTTAATATGTTAGTGGTACTTTTTGGGTGTTTGATATGAAACTTGGATATATAGAGCACTTGGAAATAGTCAATTAGTGACTAAAGTAAAATGGAAAATTTAGTTTTTTATAAAAAGTTATGTTCTTTATTAACTCACTTGGAATACATAAGTTAAACATTTTTGAGTTTGAATAATATATTGGGATCTCAATAAAATTAAAGAGTTTATATTTGATTAAGAGAGCAAAGTTCTTAGAAGAGCTACAACTTTTAATGGAGAGTTGCAAATTTTATTGTTCATTTATACCCTTTATTCATGAGGTTTCATCACCCAAATCTTAATTTTTATTCACACCCTCTGTTCACCAGGTTTCATTCATGCCCTCCATTCATGGAGGCATGAACTTATAGCCCCTTAAACAAAATATATAAGAGACTAAGAAGCCACTGAATTGAATTAATCAACATTTAATAATGGTCACCTTTAGGTTTACTAGTACCGCACTAAAGGGCTTAAAGTCAAGCATGTGTTCGGTGATCAAAGACTTTTGTTGCACTTGGTTCCGAAGTGGTTATTGTAAATGATAATAGTGATTTCTTTTGCAAGGAAATGGCTTTTCCTTGTAATGAATTGAATGTATATAAAATTTTATCAGAATTCTAGTGATCTCACAGCTAAGATAACTTTATTATACCATTTTTCTCCAAGCTAAATGAATGGAGCCATCACAATAGTCTTTACTTTTGTTTTCAATTGACCTTTTTCTAAATGTTTTTGGAGTTGAAAAAAGAATCGTCTGGTTTCTTCCTTCATAGCCAGTCGGGATGATTTGGAGGAATGGTCACTGAGTTAGCGTCGAACATCTCAATGAACTGCATCAAGAGATTTGTTGCACCTAGACAATGGAAAGCTTGAAGACACAATTTAGAGGCTTGGTACCTGTTCATTAAGGATCCGTACTTTGCTGGTTGTGTACCTGCGGTGCTCTTCAAATATCGACGTCAAGTTCCATCTCTGGAGCTTTCTAAGACAGCCTATTACAGTTCCTACCAGGCGAAAGACTGTTAATCTCATCGGTTACTCGAGAAAGAGATCGCGTAGTCATACCGGTGGTGTTGCGTCCCTGCTTGCACATAACATGCAAAGGATAATTCTCCGGACGCAGTATCACCTAGAAAAAACAGAGAGAGCAGGATGACGAAAGTGTAACGAAGGAAAAAGGAACAAACGAAATTTTAAAGTACTGAAACTGACCTCCAATGCAGACAGTACCTGAGCTTCGGACAGCGATCCCGTCGTTTCAGCCGCTGTCGTGCTGCTGCTTTGATGAGTCCTTCGAAAATGTATGCCTTGTTCGTCGAGAAAGCTCAAGCTACAGAGGAAGAAAGAATGAAACGAACGAGTGTTAATGCAGCAAAAACAAAAAATCGCTTTTGTCCTATCGCACACAAACCACTCACAATTGCTGCGATGGTTCGTCCTGTGAGAGATAGAGCACAGTGCGCAAGTTGAGGCGCTCTAGAAAAGGAAAATTGAGCTGATGAACAACACCTGATCTTGTGAGATCGTACTCCACCATGCCATAGTTGAGAGGAGGAACAAAGTAGCTGCTCATGTCACTCGCGGAGGAGACACTGAAGAGAGGCTCTCAGCACTCGAGAACACGGCTACGGATCATCGCCTGCAAATCTGAGCGGCAAGACGAACGAGAAATGAACAGGAGAAGATGAAGAGGGAAAAAAATAAGAGAAAAGAAGTGCAGTAGTGGATATTCCAGAAAGGATATGCGAAGATACTCTCAATCACACACGCTCATCGCTTGGCGATTCTGTTCGCCATCGCACATCTGGTCTGTTCAGTTCATCCACAGCTTGAGCACTCGATCCCTTCCACCCGATGCGACTTTTTGGCCGTCGGGGCTCCAATCCACGGCGAAAACCTGCACAGGAATGTTTTGCTAGTAAGCATCCCTTGCGGCTTTGAAGAGATACCTCGTCGGCATGACCCGGAAGATCCTCCAGAAGTTTATGGTTTCTCATGTTCCACACCTGTTTCCGAAATGGTGAGGATATGAGAGTGAAAAAAGAATGCCAACCTTCAACGTAGAATCCTTGCTTCCACTTAGTAAAAGCCGGCTATCAGCCGACCAACTGATTCACCTCGTTCAAAACGAAACCACCACATAAGAAGATCGACAAGGAAGACGAAAAACAAAGAGAGACCTTATCTGATAAACCGGACCGACATGTCCGCGGAAAGTTGTGACGTACTCTCCGGTGTATCCATTCCAAAGCTTGACGGACTTATCAAAGGATGCACTGGCAATCCACCGGCCATCAGGCGAGAAGTAGACGTGATTGACAAGCTGAAAACATGGAGCAGCATTACAAGCAGGACGCCAATGATCAGAACGTTACCTGTTGATGGCCAGACATACGCGTCTTTGGATGCTTGCCAGTTGCAGGTTCCCATAGGTACATTGTAAAATCGTCCGAGCCTGAAACGAGCCTTTCTTGGGAATCACCTTTGGCGACTTTGTATCTTTTAAACGCGGCCTATGAAACCACCGTGAGAAACAGATAGAAGAGTGCCGCAGTAAGTGTTACCTCTTTGATCTCTTCGTCTGTTGCAAATGCTCTTCCTGTGTGATCGAATGGTCCAGTCCTTAGAACATACTCCGTGCTTAATGCTAATGTGTTAACCCAGTGAGCATGACCCTGTCAATGTCACAGTAAGAGATCACAAGCAGGGCATTCCTCCAACTTAAGCACCTCGCAAGAGTTTAACCTTTAATTCTCTGACGAGTTTTCCTTGAGTTGTCTCCCAGACCTTGATTGTACAGTCCTGTGAGCTGAAGGCCATTCGATAAGAACATAAGAAAAAGTAATATACATCAAAGTGACATACGCACCTTGAGTAAATCAATCCATCGCCTCCCCATTTTACGCAAGTCACAGCCCGTGTATGTCCCGAGAGGCAAAGAACAGATTTCCTTAAGGAAGAATCCCAAACACGAACATCTCCATCTTTGCTTGCACTAGCGAAGCGACGGCAAGGGGATTGTATGTGAGCTGGTTCCCAAGTCAGCGCTGTAATCCAGCTCTTGTGCCCCTGAATGAGAAAAAAAGAAGAGAAATATTTCATTTAAACTAGCATCACAATACGATTCTTACACTGAGCGAATTTCCCAATGCTTTTCCAGTAAACGGATCCCAGACATGGATGCCACCATCTTTGCTCGCACTAACAAGTTTTCTGCCATCGGGAGACCACGCAATGCAAAGAACCCAGTTCTTATGACCTGAAAGGAAGAGACTGTGAAGGAGAACCAAGCAAGTAAGAAGCATCTTGCCTTTGCATGTATGAAGAGGTGTTTGAGTAGAAATGTCCCAGAAACGAACAGATGCATCTCCGGAACCACTGGCAAGATGCTTGCTATCAGGGCTGAATGACACGGACAAAACTGCCTCGCTGTGGCCTGGAAAAACTCAATGGTTCTACTAAGTTTGATTCGAAAGAAATAACACCTCGCACCTGAGATGGTCGCTGAGCAACGCGTAACCGGACGGATCCGGAAGATGGCTTGCGGGTGGTAAACTATCTGCAGATCCTTCTCCACAGATACTGAATCCCAAAAGAAAATGGAGCGTTGCTTCTTGAAACTATTTCGATTTTAGATAGAGAGCACCTTTGTTTCGAAGTACGTGTTCTCCGAGCTGTCCAACGAGCTCGAGATCGTTAATATAAAAGGCGTATGGGAGCGGCTCTTCCTAGACAAACGAAAACGAATAAGAATTACACGAAGGAAGCGAAAGAAAGAAAGAATGCGTCGCTCACATTGTGGAGAACAGTGTTGATGAGCGTCTGGAGCTCCTTCGGCGTGAGATTCTGTGGCACATCCAAGCGCTCGAGCGCCTTGCCATCGGCATTCACGAACACGCAGATGATGTTATTCACTGGAGCCTCCATCGAAGAACCCTAAATCTCTGCTTAAACCCTAAAACATTTAGCTTGTTGGACGATCGCAATGCGGCGCTCGGCGGAAGCGATCCTTCTTCTTGGAGGATCGTCCATCGATTCTGTGGCAGCGCTGCTTCCATCAGATGGATTGGTCGATCGGCGATTCCTTACTTATCAGGTAAAGAAATTCCAAAATCTCCTCGTTTTATTTTTCCCTTCCATCTTGGCTAAGGTGCGTTTGAGCGGCGATGGCGCTCTCTCTCCAATTCGCGGTCTCCACGCCCCGGCAAGCGTCGCTGGAGATTTCAAAGCTAACTCCCGGCTACATTGCGTCGTCCTTGTCCTTGCGATCTCCTTCCGCTTCTTCGCTCCATTCTCTCGGCACAAGCAGCGGCATTGCCGGGGCCGTGAAGAAGAGCTCCAGAAGATGGAGAGCAGCGAAGACGGTGGCGATGGCGGCAGCCGCTAACGAGGTGTCGAATCGCAAGGTACTGATTGTCAACACCAATTCCGGTGGACACGCCGTGATTGGCTTCTGGCTCGCCAAAGATCTCGTCGCTGCTGGCCACGAAGTTACTGTCATGACTGTCGGTGAGGAGAGCTCGGATAAGATGAAGAAGCCACCATTCTCGCGGTTCTCGGTATGTTCTTGACTATCTCTCTTTTATATTCGTTCTTCCTCTTTCTTTTCTTCTTTGCAGGAACTGCGAGATCTTGGAGTATCAACAGTGTGGGGCGATCCGAAAGACGTTGGAGCAGCCGTGGGTGGCAAATCGTTCCATGCCGTTCTAGACAACAATGGAAAAGATTTGGATGCTGTGAAGTATGTGATCATCTTTCTCGTCTTAGAGGATGAAGTTGGCTGGTTTTTTTGCAGGCCTGTTGTGGACTGGGCGAAATCCCAAGGTGTGGAGCAATTCTTGTTCATCAGTAGCGCAGGAATCTACAAAACTAGTGACGAGCCTCCGCACGTCGAAGGGGTAAGCAACCTCCACTTTCTCTCTTTTTTTTCTCGCTTCTCAGCTCAAGCGAATTGCTGCAAACAGGATCCTGTGAAAGTGGACGCAGGCCACGTCGGTGTGGAGGACTACATTTCAAAGTCGGCTTTCAAGTTTTGGTCCTCGTTTAGACCACAGTACATGACTGGCTCCGGGAACAACAAGGACTGCGAGGAATGGTTTTTCGACAGTAAGTTTTTCCTCCTTCCTTTCGTGTTTCAAGGGATCATGAAAACGTTTTGGACAGGAATCGTTAGAGACAAGCCCGTCCCAATACCTTCTCCGGGGATCCAAGTGACAAACATTGCTCATGTATCCGACTTATCGAGCATGATAACACTGGCGATTGGGAAACCGAGCGCGTCCAACGCTACCATCTTCAATGCTGTGAGCGACCGCGCTGTTACTTTCGATGGTCTCGTCCGGTTGTGCGCCAGAGCTGCGGCGAAAGAAGCGAAGATTGTCCACTACGACGCCAAAGCTCTGGGAATCGATGCTAAGAAGGCATTTCCTTTCCGAAACATGGTATGCCCAACCTTTGATTATTTTGGTTTTCATATTTTCCTTTCGTTGTTTCCGCTGCTGTATAGCATTTCTACGCGGAACCAAGAGCAGCAAAGGAGAAGCTCGGGTGGACGAGCTCGACAAATCTCTCAGAAGCATTGAAGGAGAGGTACGAGGAGTACATCAAAATTGGGAGAGACAAGAAGGATATCAAGTTTGAGATCGATGATACCATTCTGAGCAAAGTTGGATAAACATTGCTTTGCCAAATGAGGTTCTTCCACACGACGTGGTCAGTAGTATCTCGTCTCAGAGAACCAGTAATGTCACTTTCAGATCGAAGGATGTTTGAGCTTCTCGGAGTTTTTTTCCTGCTTGCTTCATCGCTTACTTAAAGGTCTAAACTACAAAATGAAGGTACGCTATAATCGGGAAAAAGGTTAACATTGGCTATATAAATACGAGGACAATTAGGGTTCGTGAAGCTTGATGGATCTCGAGACCAGATGTAGGATTTTAGTACACGATCTTCTCAACTTCGAGAGCGAGGAGGCGCAGGCGAGGCTTTGTTTCGATCCAGCTGCGCGATTTTTCCTCTCTCGGGCTTATTTTGCCCCAGAGGAGGTGGACAAGCTCAGCAAGACGCAGACTAGCGAGGGCAAAACATTGGGCGAGGCGCTGGCAAGGGCAAGGGGGACTACGAGCTGTGCACGTCACACGACATCGCGCCCATCTTGCAACAGGCGCTCGGCATCCACAGGGATTTCCAAAAGAATCCAGCGTTTAAGAGGGCCTTGAAGGCATTCAACAAGGACTGGAAGAAGAGAAAACCTTTGTAAAAACTCCTTTGTGAAAACTGGAAAAGGCTTTGGGTAATGTTTTTCTTCTCTTCTGGACGATATGGTTTCTGTTTGACAAGATGCCGGGCAGAGATCTCTTATCTTGGAACTCGACGGTTATACCAAAAGGACGTCGAGAAGACGCTTTTGCCCTGGCAGAAAAATCCCCGGAAAGAATCGCGTTCCAGGAAGCCAGGCTCTGCTCCGGCATGTGATCGAAGAGGATCGGCTCTCTGCGAATACGCATCGATCATCGATCAACGCGATCCAAGAAACAAGGTTCGTCTCCCGCATGCGACCAAACAGCTAATCTCTCGCGAATTCCAGGTCGCCGCCACAGATTCCAGGGCTTGCGAGGAACCAAAATTTTCAGACAATCCGACAGCCAGGTGAAAGAAATGCGTTTTGACGATCATTTATGTTGTCTCGTTTGTAGGAGTCATGTCCGCCGTGACATTCTTCGTGAACACCTCTGATGGCGAATGAAGGGAGTGTCCAGAAACACCCCGAGACACCTCCCTGGGCGCTCTTGGGTGTAGTCATTGTGATGGAAGCCGGCTCGAGATGTTAGCTGGGTGGAAGTGTCAAGTGATGAGATGCTGCATCTGGTTTGTGGGACGTGGGCTCGTGACGCCACAGCGTTTTACCTGGTGACCAGACCCAAAGACGACACATCTCCCAATCGAAAACCAGCCTCATGCTCGAGGAGCACTGTCGAGAAAGTTGCGGCACAATCACCAAAGAAGAAAAGGAGAGTAGCCGATCCCGGACTGGTTCCCGAGAGAGTCAAGAGGCTGGACGATCTTGTGCCAGCAAACAAGACGGACATATTCACACAAATGGAACTTACGCCAGGAGATCAGGATGTAGTACTAGTGACGGATGCACAAAGGGATCTCACGCTGGGTCTAGATGGAGAAATGCTACAGGGTTACATCCGATCTCAGCTGGCCAGCGGCGCAGCATTGGATGAAGTGGAAGTGGACGCAGTGAAGCTGAGCCTTGAAGTCTGGTTCACATACCTAACGAGGAGAAACAAGTTTGCGGACAGGTTCTCATCAATTTTAGAGGAGATGGCCGGGAACATGAAGCAGTACGAAGAAACCCTGCAGAAACTCCAGGCGGACGAAGATCTCTACATGAGGATGAAGTTCTTCATCAAAGACTTGTCAAGCTTCGGAAGTGACGAAGAAGCTCAGGAAAGGCTCGAGCACTCTGGCAAGTCACAGTATTTCTTCACGACGGCATATTTCAGCGAGGAAGAAATTGCGAGGCTGCTGGAGCTTCGGGTGTCAAGCGGGAAAAGCGTGAATGAGCTGCTTGGGGAGCTTGTCAGCGACAAAGGAGAGCTATGTACATCTCACGACGTGGCTCCCCTCCTGCAGAAGGTATTTGGAATCAAGAGGGGGTTCCAGGAGGACGCAGGCTTCAAGCACAGATTCAAAGCTTTCAGGAAGCAGTGGACCAAGAAGAACAGACGTTTCTCGATTTGTAAGTGATGTTTCTTTTGGAATCACTGCTTCTCTAACACTTGTTTTCCCAGGACCACATCGGCAGGACGAACTGCACTAGACTCCAACTGTAAATAGTTTCCACCACAAGGACACGGCAAAGATACGTCGATCATGCATTGGCGAATGGACAAGCTCTCCAAGTTTTCTAGAATCAACCAATGTTGCTCAAAATGGTGTCATCGATCTCAATAATCTTGGACACGCCATATTTCGGGAAAGGAAATGCCTTCCTCCCATCGATGTCCAGCGCTTTCGCGTCGTACTGGAAGATTCTTCGCTTCTTTTGCCGCAGCTCTGACGCGGAGACTAACAGCATGGTCGCTCACAGCATTGAAGATGGTGGATACGCTCGGTTTCCCAATCGCGAGCGTCATCATGCTCGGAGATTGGGACGGGCCTGTCTGTGATCCCCTGAAACACGAAAGAAATTAGGGAAAACTTACTCTCTAAGAACCATTCCTTCTTGTTCCCTGAGCCGTCCAGCATCAATTCGCTTGAGCTGAGAAGAAAAGTAAAAGGGGTTTCACACCCACCATTAATTTATAATTTTTACATTAGAAGATTTTAACTTAATTTAAAATCATTAGTCATTTTAACACAATGGCGTTTTGTTTGCGCCAATTAAATTATACCTAAGAGCATTAGTCTTGATTTAGAGGTGGTGACTAGCACCATAAGAATAAAGATCTCTCAAGAATGTTGAGGATGGGATGGAAAAGAGGATTTCACATGCAAGGAATTAGAATTTCTTTTGTGTGAGAGGGAGAAATAATAAAATGCTATGGATCACAAAAGAACTTTCATTATGAAAATTTCCAAGAATTGAGTTGTGTGAGAAGGGAAAATTCAGGGTAATAGGCCCATTTCTTGCCAGACTTAGCAAAAAAGTGTATAAATTCATTTATTTAAATATAATTTTTGTATATAAAGGTACAATATAAAAGTTTATATGATTTATTGCCTATAAACTAACTTTTAGAAAAAAACACTCACAAAAACTTCATTACCAACAAGTTTACTAAATCTATCCATTTATCACCTTTTATTTATACTTATAGTTACCTAGAGAATGTTGTTATCCCACGCCACCTTTACTCCTCCTTATGGCAACAAATGGATACATTGATAAACAAAAAAATTGGCTAGGCCTAAAGACATTAGAGTAGAAATAACTAAATTTATCACCTTTGATTAAAGATTCCAAAACCTCATTCATTTATTTATTTATTTTTCCATTACTTCCTTTCTTTTTCCCTTGGTTTTTTCAAGGCTTTCAATTTTTTTTTCTCTACTGCTTTAGGTCTTGGTTGTTACTTCTTCCCTCTCCCTTTTTTTAATGGCTACTATTTCTTTATTTTTTATTACAACTTCTTCTCTTTCCCTTTTCTTTGCAACCCTTCTTATTGCTTCCAATTTTTTTTGTTTCTCATGTGCTTCTTTTGCAATATCAATTGTTTCAACAACACTTGTGAATTTTAGACTTGTTAAAATAGTTCTAGCACTAACTTTCAACACTGGTCTAAGTCAAAAACAACTTTGTACCTTTGAAAATAATTTTACATGCAAGTATGCCATCTTGTTGTTTTTTTATTGCTATCCAGGCACATACACATGTTGCTCGTGTTGCTTGTGTTGCTCAACTTGATGCTCTAGCAAAACTCCTATGAAACAAAGCCATAGCTGAATGAGAATTAAAAAGTGTTTTTTACCTAATTACCCAAGCTATCTAAGAAGTTTAGAATGCTTGAGCTAATTAAAATGTTACTTAGGCTACCATCAATGCTGTAGATGAACCTCAAGCTACAAACACTTTCACTACTTCTTTTAGCTAATTGAAAGTGAGTGGATAATTGATTTTAACTCAAGCTTTCACCAAAGATGCTTGATAATGTAAAAATGGTGGAGGATTTCTAAAAGAAAAACTATTTAAGAATTTAATATACCTCGGATGACTTTGCAAGATCTATTAAGGGGATGTAGCACAGGATGACCATATTTTTTTATTGATTCTTCATTCTAAATTCTAATCACATGCTTCTGGCTACGTGCTTTGGTTAGAAGTTGACTTCCAAAACATAGAAAAATAATAGAGAAGTTAGACATTTCTTTCTCTTTCAGCTTAATAGTCTTTTACTTTTGTAATGCCAGAACTTTGGCTTTTGTGCACACTTTCAGGGACAAAAACTACTAGACTTCTTTGCACTATGGGCTAAAAACAAGTGTAGTTAAAAAATTTAAAAAGTTATTTCTAGCTGCAAAGACAGCTTAGAATAGGATAGCTTCTGGGAGCTGTGAGTGTTTGTGCACAAACTCTTGAAAGTTGTGTTTTTTGCCCTGTAATATACTGTTTTATACCGTAGCATTTTAAGCAATTAACTAGCTGGTTGGAACCTATCTCCTAACTAAACAAGGAAGTGGCGTGTAATGTGCTTTATGTATACATATTGTGATGGTTAAGCTTTGTAATTGTCTTTATGTATGCATATTGTGCTGGTTAAGCTTTGTAATTGATTAAACAATAAACCTTATAATAGGATTTAAAAAATTATTAAATTTTTTTTTTTCAAAACAGTGGCAAACCTCAAGATTTGATGTGTTCTTTCCACCTTCTTCACTTTTTTTGCCCACTCTTGAGATATTTTGACCTGATGATGAAATGTAACTTGATAGATAGCTGAACTTAATAAATTTATTACTCCTATAATTTTTATTATACTCTTTTTTCTAAATTCGGGAATATAGATGAAATAGAGTAATTGAATGAGTTCCTTTTCTTCCAAATAGCTACATTTGCAATTGAAAAAAGTGATTTTAATTTTAATTATGTTATTTAATAGATTATTTTCTTTTTTTGTAGACTAAAAGATTAGTTAGTGTTGAACCAATAATCTTTGAAAAAAGTAATCAATATTTTGATGACACTAAAATCCATCATAACCTAGAATGTCATGAAACCCACCAAAAAATTATCACATAATTTTCCATTTATCACAAAGATATGGTTTGGGCCAAAGGTGGCCCAAATTAAGAACCCATGCGAAAAATGGGCCTATTACCCTAAAACTTTGTTTTTTTTTTACAACTACTACCTTGAAGAAGAATAATGAATATAACGATCTATTGCATCATCCATAGCAATAATGTCATTGCAAGATTAACCATTTCATCTGTAAATACATTGAGTGTGTGTAAATGATTAATTTTTCCCTTCTGCTTTAGTCACTTAACCACACTTTTAACCATAAGTCCAATGTATATATCATCGCAAACTATAAGTTCTTCATCTCTCAACTTATGTCTAAAGGCAATTTGAGCATTTTCAGTTTTCTGGGAAGTAACAATTTTACTAGAGGCCTCCCAAACCAGCTCTCAAGAATTGTTGACTTGTACATAGACTGCAAAATCGTTTTCCTCTTCTAACCAAGTACATCACATCTTTGCATATATACAGAGATGTATCGTTCAACAGGCTGACTGGACCTGAGTGAGTATGCATTTTTTCTGCTAATTTCTCTGAACTTGCATAGGAATGCTACCATTATTGGCAATCCGTCCTCAGTTAATAGAACTCAAGGGTATGGTTCTCTTCATGTTCAACAAGGTTCACCTCACCATGTTTTCATTGCAGACAAAATGCAAATACTGCTACGTGTTTACAGGATATATCAAACTGCGGCAGTGTGAACCAAGGAAATAGTTGAGTGATATTTGCTGCATAAAGTCTTCACTTGATATAGACATATTTCCTATTCAGATGTTATCAACTGTGGTGGACCTCAGATCACTTCGGATGGGACAGATTTTAACATAGACATGCCAAGTTCTTTTACTATTCCACTGGAGGATGGGTATCTAGCAGCTCTGGTTTGCGGAACCCTTTCAAAATAACCCGACTTGGTTTCAAAGCATAGATGGTTCCACTGGTCAGCAGGCTGTACTATATCAAACTGCCAGAACTGCGCCAACATCTTTGAGGTGCCTCGGAGTTGGCATGCGAAGTGGTTCATATACAGTACACCTCCACTTTGCAGAGATTATCATCGACACTGGCCAGGACGGACCAGGAGTGGGTATCCAGGGCGACAGAAAGCTCAAAGATTTCAACATACGGGAAGAAGCCAATGGGTCTCTTAGAGCTTTGAGAAGGAGCTTCACTGTCGTCAATGTATCTAACGGCGTTCGTGACATTCATCTTCTTGGATGGGGAAAGGAACATGTTGCGCTCCATTCAGATCTTTCAGGTCCTCTGATATCCACAATCCAAGTTCTACCTGGTAAGTGTTAGATACTGCTGCCACTACGAAAGTTTGTCTTCGTTCTAACATTGCGTTTCAGAATTTGAAACTGGTGGCACAAGTCAGAGTGAAAACAGTTCCAAATGCGTAAAAATAGGTGTTGGAGTCTCGGTGCCACTCGTGGTGCTCTTTATGGTTTCCGGTTATTTGTTGTGGAGGAAACGACACAGAGAACAACGATGAAGGTCACTTAATGCTTTTGCGAATTAGTTTTACTAATGTTCTGTGCCATGCAGAGCTCAACCTTCTAGACGGAAAGCTGCATATGTTTTCTTACAATGAAATAAAAAACGCTACGGGGGGATTTGACCCCCTGAGATTGTTGGGGACAGGAGCATTCGGCAAGGTCTACAAAGTAAAGTTTTCTTTCTGGTAAAGTGTTTGAACTTTCAGGGGGTATTATCTGATGGTACGGTGGTAGCGATCAAGCAGCTTAATAGGATCACTGGAGATGTTGTGAACGAGGCCACACTTATCTTCATCACAATCTAGTCAAGCTTTATGGATGCTGCACCGAAGGAAACAATTGGATGCTTGTTTTTGAGTTTATGGAAAACAACAATCTGCATCAGGCGCTCTTGAGTAAGTTGATCTAATACTGCTCTGAGAACACATAGTTTGTTTTTCCTTTAGGTCCCGTGGGTGTAGCTTTAGAAAGCTACACCTCAGTTGGCCAATTCGCTTCAATAGATGCATTGGAGTTGCAAAAGGGCTCGCTTATTTGCACGAGGAGTCATCACTGCGTATCAGACATCGAGACATCAAAGCTACCAATGTACTTTTGGATCAAGCTCTGGTGGCAAAGATAGCGGACTTTGGTTTGGCAAGGCTCCTCGAAGATCATCAGTATGAGGGTGGCAGGAACAATGTGAGAGCTCAAAGTTGTTGTAATTGCTTGATCTGATCATCTCTGATTTTTCTTTCTTCTTTCAGGGATACCTGCCTGCAGATGTCTACAGCTTTGGAGTTCTGGTACTAGAAATCGTGAGCGGAAGAACCAATCTGGACACCACGAGTGAAGACATGACCCATCTTCTCGATCACGTACGTATAAAGATTTACAAAATGTTTGCTCTTTAACTCGCGTCAATGATCAGTACCAAAGCGATAAGCTACTACAACTCCTGGACAAGAGAGGGATGCTTCGGCGTCATGGAGATGTTTCCCCGGATGCGAGAGTTGCTAAGCAAAGACCGACAGAGCCGAGAGAGCCAATCGAGCAAAGACCCCAGCAGCAGTGCCAGTGGCAGCATGATCGGGACTGACTCGCCATGGCAAGGATCTTCATTGGCAAACAACAGTATACTTCCAAGGTAGAGCCTCGAGTTTTGAAGCCATAAAGATGCCAGGAATATGCCCAATCCCGGCATATTGAAAGCCCACATCCCTCCTCCGTGGATGCCGCCACATTGGCAAGGTCTCGCTCATCCACGCCCACGTCTCCAGCAATGGCTGGATCCGCAAGACCTTCGTCGCTGTCCAGATGTATGGCACCCTTGGCGGCGGTGGCACAGGAATCTCTTTTCCTGGAACATCACCCTGGGCCACGAGGGGCTGGAAGATGCCTGGGACCTCTTTCGGAAGATGCCCAGCCGCGATACTGTGTCGTGGAATCTCATGTTTGCAGCATATGCCCGATCAGGGCATCTTGTTGTGGCCAGAAATCTCTTTGATTCCATGCCCAGGAAGAGCCTCGTGTCCTGAACTCAATTGTGCAAGCCTGCAGTAGCCATGGATTCCTGGACGAGGCTAGGGTTTTGTTTGATCGCACCCCGGGCAAGAACGTTGTCTCCTGATCCAAGCGTACGCCGAAAGAGGGAATTTGCGGGGGGCCAGAGATGTCTTTGACAGAATGCCGCTCACGGATCTCATCTCCTGGACGATGATCGTCACGGGTCACGTCGCGTGGGGCAAGATCCAGGAGGGATCCAGGCGATGCCGGAGAGGAGCGCTGTGGCTTGGGACGCGATGATGCAGGCGGCTGTCAGGAAGGGGATGTGGATGCCGCAGCGTCGCTTTTCACGGCCATGCCGCCTGGGCGGGATTGTAGCTCCTGGACGTCGATGATCTCTGGCTATGCCAGGAACGACTGAATCGGGGCGGCAATGGCGGTGTTTTGGCGAATGCCGACGTGGAGCCTGATTTCCTGGAACGCCATGGCCATTGCGCTGGCCGAGAGCGGCGATCTCTCCTCGGCCAAGAATCTCTTCGATCGCATCCCAGAGACCTGGAACGCGATGATCCAGGCCTACACCGCGAGCGGGGGTTTGATCGCCGCTGTAGAGGTCTTCGATCGAATGCCGCAGCCCGACGTGATCTCCTTCACTACGATTGTCGTGGCGATCGCGCAGGGCGGGGATCTGGATCGCACCAGGGCGCTGTTCGATGCCATGCCAGAGCGAAATCTTGTTTCCTGAAACGCGATGGTGGCCGGCTACGCCCAGAGTGGAGTTGGCGACCACGAAGTTGCCGTACATCAGTCTGGATGGAGTAACGATCTGTCCTCCATTGAGACTGTAGGAGCCAGCACTGTAGGAAGAGGAAGAGGTCTGTGATGGCACTTCAGCTCCGAAACGTGCATCACATCATGAAGCTTAGTTCCCAATGGCAGCTGCAACCTGTATGCCACCTGGTTGATTCTTTCTAAAACCCGGAAAGGTCCGAAGAATTGCAGGTGCAGGTGCAGCTTGGAGCGAGAGTGAGTACACTCTCCCACCGAAACCGTACATAAACCCAGTCCCCAACCTCAAAGGCTCGAAAAGTTCCGTGCTGGTCCGCAAAAAACTTCATGGAATCCTGGGCAGCATGGAGATGCTTGCAAACAAGAGTATGGAGTTCCTGTATGGCGTGAAGATGCTCTTGTAGACCAGAATCTTGAACGATCAGTGGAGAAAATAGACCAGGCACCTCTCGACCATATAATGCTGCATACGGGACATTCCAATAGCAGAATGATGACTCGTGTTGTAAGCGTATTCAGCATGAGCCAACCAGCGGAGCCAAGATGAAGGCGTATGCACGTAGAAGAGCCTCTAGAGTGTGATTGGTTCTCTCTGTCTGGCCATCAGACTCTGGATGATAAAGTTGACAAAAAGCTGAGAAAACTTTGGATCCCGATCAGAAACAATGTCCTGAGGAATCCCATGAAAACGAACAATCCCCTCCCAGAAAAATTCAACAACTATCTACTGCTCGCCAGTACTTTTCCCTTCTCAAATCACGACGTCAAAACAAGCACGGAGAAAATCGAACAGAAATCCGACTCACCACATCCGACTCCAGCGTGACAGTTTCAGAGATAATTATCTCGCTGGGAATCTCAAGGACGAAATCTCCAGCTTTTAAATCGCACGCTGCAGCCCCTCCTCTACCATATCCTTCAAAATCTGTTTTGTCACAAAGCTCTTAAGATCGTCATAGAAAAAAATACCAAGACTCACCAGCTATGCCAATGTTGCTTTTGACTCCTCTATCCTTTGCCCATTCAGACAAAGATTTCTCTGCGTTCCTCTCGCACGGAGCGGCGAAGTTGCCTACATTGCTTTCATCAGTGCCAAATTCATCCAGCCTTTCCAAAACCATTTTCTCGAGCTCGGAATCCGTGCTGGAAACCAGCAAAGATCGAACGACGCCGGGGGCCGCCATTTCGGTTCGAGCACTGATCATGCCTCTTTCATCGTCTTCCAGAAAATAACATTCTGTCTGAGAGCAATGAAGAAAAACAAAAGAAAACAGCAAATCTGCGATAGAGCAATGACGAACTCTTACCTCGTTGAGCTCTAGAATCCGTGCTCCCTCTAATACTTCCTCCAGCCACTGGCATTTCTCTTTGCTGGGCACAGCTTGAGGCCTCGATCCTCCAGAATCCTCTGCATTTCATCCAAACTTCATCCTCTATACACTCGTGCCCCCCATCAATCAGAGATTACCCCTTTCGCTCGCGGATCCGCTGCCCCTGGCAACTCCAATCCTAACGAATATTCTCTTAAATTTTAAAAATTAAATAGCTGCCACGTATACCAATCTTTTGGTGCCGCGTAACGGTGAGCTAAACAGAAAATAGGGCAGGCTATGGTGAGCGAGGCCGCGATGGCGCTGGCGATGCCGCTCGGCTGCTGGTGAGTGATTCTTGCCAGATCGTCTGGGAGTACTGATCTTCGCCGAGCACCTCAAGATGAGAGGGGGCAGATTTCTCAACTCTCTGCGGCAGCTAGCCAGGCAGCCAGTGAGCAACACGCCTTTGATTCGCAACGCATTCGAGCTGGGGCACTGCGTTTTCAAGCCGATCAAGCATGTATGTCACCGCTGTCCAAGGAGAAGCAGTACTTTTTGATCGGGCTCTCGTCGTCGATGAAGCAGCAGCACGCTGCTGCCACGAAGAACTTGCTGACTTTCACACACATCAAGAACAGCAGCTCGGCCGCTGCTATGGTGCAAGAACCTCTGGAAGATATCCGGTGGAGGACAATGTGGTTCCTCCTGCACTGGAAACATCTTCTCCAGCAGAGCAAGTTTGTGATGCTGGGATTTTACTGGGGCGTGTGTTTCGGCAAGCCGAATGATGTTGGGTCGAAGATTTGGAATTCCTTTTGGGTAAGTTCGTATGTTTTTTGAGTCCGATCATTGATGGTTCTAGCCATCGGAGAACCGGATAATTGAAGCTGAGGTGAGTATCGACATAAACAAGCACAGGAACCCAGAGAATTTCTCCGACCAGTTTGCGAGGCTGGCCGTGATGGCTCTAAGATTTCCCACCGACTTGCTCTTTCGGGTGATGCTGAACAACCATTTCTAAAGTTTCATATAAGTTTGACATCTAAAGCAGTAAGAGTTTTGGCTTTCTCATTTTTCTTCTTTACATTTCTCACGCTCGCTTTTGCTCTCTCGTTATTGCAGCAACGTTACATATGTTGAGCGGCAATGCTAGAAACCATCTCTGGTGTTCTCGGAATGGTTGGGGGGATGGTTAGTCTCTGAGGCGAGTAGAGCACAGTGGAGGGTGGATCAAGGCTTTTATGGAAGAAGCAGAAAACAAACAAATGCATGACATTCATGGAGCTGTCCAAACCATCGTGGCAGGAAGGGGCCCTAGTTTTTACTGCTTAAGGGATGTTTATGAAGCAATCAGGACTTAGATAATTTGGCGAGGAAAAAGAAAAGGAGCTAGAACAGTAGGAACACAGACCCAATATAAACCCCGAATTTTTGTTAATATTATAAGTACTTAGAGGTAAGAGAGTTATGTTAGATCAATCGGTAAGTGGTAATTCACCACCACAATATGGAGGTGGTATATAAATTCCCAATAAAAAAATAATTAAAGTTAATGGTTATGGCTAATTAATATGGCTAAGGCCATACTTGAACTTTAGAACAACCCAAGCAGAATGCATAACACATCAAGAAGGAGAAATGCCAAGGACACAACCACTGCCTACAAATACCATTAAGATTCACAAAGAGATAACCACCACAATAGAGCACAGCAAAGAATAGTAACACCAAGAACTATTTCACCTGGATGCTAGGTTCTTGCCACTGCACCTTCAGCAATATGCATTGAAGAGCTTCATCAAGAGGCAAAGGCAATAGAAGGATCACTAGTAAAAGAAATGCTAAAGGCTCAAAGAGAAGTAGAGGAAGACACACCACCTCTAGTTGGGGAAAGTGTTCCACCCAGTCTAGCCACTACATGAGGGGCAAAGATAAGCTGAGGGATACCCAAGATAAACTTCCATTGCCACTCCTTAGTAGTGCCAACAATGATGACCGCCAAAACCACACTAATCCTATTCCTCCTACCACCCATCTTTCTTCTTTTTCCCTCCAATTATTACAATTGCTATTTTTTTTATCTTTTCCTGTTCTAGGTTTATGAAGAACAAGGCAAGCATCTCCATCCGAGTGCTCCACGGGCGGGAATACAGGTGGAAAAAGAGTGCCAATCAAAGCTGGTTCATACAGAAAGGTTTAGGAGGAATCATCGAGGTATTTGCCAACAAGGCAGTTACCATAGATGGGCTGTTCCTCACCAACATAATCATGGCGATAGATGAGTACAAGAAGGTGATTAGAGTTTATGGGAGGAACATCTGGCTTTCAACAGAGTTCTTCAACCAGGTATTTGATTATCCAGAATTCCAGGGACACATGAAGAAGCCCAGCCAAACCATCTGACCAAGTGTGTATGGACATTTATTCAAAGAAACAACTACAGGTAGAAGAAAATAGAATATCCATCTCGCGAGAAGAAAGGACACCAAACGGGTGAAAAGCATCCAAGTTAGGGATTTTCCAGATGCACATGTTGACAGGCTTTGACCCCTCATGGCTTTCATCGGATGCAAGAAGGAGTTGAATACGATCCCGGCAAATATAATGTAGGCTTATGTGAGAGCAGAGAAAATGCAATCGGTGAACTAAGGTTGATTTTCTGGATTTCATTTTTCCGGGTGATTGCCACTCAAAAAAGTAGGATCTTAAGTAGTCAGAAAGGATTCACCGATTTATACCCGTATCTAGTAAGGATAGTAAAATACCTCGGGTTAACATCAGAGGACGAGTGGAATTTCCGACCCTTGTATGAACAGTTGGAGTACTTGCTGAAGAAGCAGATAGACGACTTCATCAACGGGGTAAAGAACAATACTAAAGGTTGGTACAAAATGCTACACTACATTAGTGATCAAGATTTGGATAGTTCAGCGAAGGAAGAAGAAGAAGAGCCAAAGCCGAAGTAACAAAAAAATGGGGTTGACGTGGGCCATGAATCCCTGTCGATTCCATAAGTACCCAGAAGTAGGAAAGCCACGCCAAATCAACTGGTAGGTGGTAACCTACCACCACTTTACAAAGGTGGTATATAAATTACCTATCGAAGAGTAACCAAAGTTGGCGATTCTAATTGTATTAATTAGTCATAACCACCAATTTTGGTTTCTCCTTGATAAGCAATTCATACATTACCTTCGCACTGTGGTGGTGGGTTACCACTTACCAATTAATCTAGCATAACTCTCTTACCTTTAAGTAATTGTGGGATCGACAGGGATTCAATACTTACATTAACTTTGTCTTTTTGTTACTCCAACTTTGGCTCCTCTCTTTTTTCTCTACCGAATTATTTAAGTCCTGATTACTGGTGTAGTGTAGCATTTTGTATAAACCTTTGGTATTGTTCTTCACCCCGTTGATAAAGTCGTCTATTTGCTTCTTTAGCAAATACTCCAATTGTTCATATAAAAGTCAAAAATTCCACTCGTCCTTTGATGTTAGCCCAAGGTACCTTGCTATCCTCGCTAGATATAGGTATAAACCAATGAATCCTTTTTGACCGCTCAAGATTCTGCTTTTTTGAGTGGCAACCACAAAAAAAAATAAAATCCAAAAGATCACCCCCTAATTCAGTAATTGCATTTTCTTTGCTCTCACATAAACCCACATTATATTTACCGAGATCGTATTCAGCTCCTTCTTGTATCCAATAAGAGCTATAAGGTAGAAACCTATCATCATGTGCATCTGAAAAATTCCTGAGTTGAATGCCTTTTACCTTTTTGGTGTCCTTCCTTCTCATGAGATGGATCTTCCATTTTCTTCTACCTGCAATTATTTTTTTGAATAAATGTCCATACGCACTTGGTTAGATGGTTTGGTTAACCTTCTTCATGTGTCCCTAGAATTCTGGATAATCAAATACCTGGTTGAAGAACTCCGTTGAAAGCCAAATGTTCCTCCCATCCGTTGAAACCAATCACAATTGCTCCACTAAGAATTGCCAAATCCATGTCACTAGCTGCTTGTGCCTTGCATCAAAAACCAAAGCTGGACAGTGTCCTGTGGCAAAACTTGGAGCACCTCCCTGATGGCCGCCACATTTCCCTGAGATCAAACAACACAAGTGTATAAAACGAGTGAAAGAGCAAAGGAAAACAATGCCAGTACCTGAATGTCAATATTGAGAACAATGTTTAGCTGGTGTGACTCAACACTAGAGTCCTTTCAAGACGCTACAGCACTCGCAAGGTTCGCAAGCGTCACCTTTCCTTCACTAGCTTGAGAGGCTAGACAAGAATCACGCATGCGTTCTGCATATTTGGCAGCAGCGTCTCTAGCATCATCAATCGTGTCACAGATTTCAAATTTGTATCCAGCAACTGGTACACTACTCAGTCCAATCACCTGAGATAATCGCAGTCAGATGTCGATGCTAAAAGAACTTGAGCAAGAATCGAAGAAAACCTGCACTGCGGTTGATGGACCAGCCTCATTGACCGACTTCCCTTTTCGTCAAACAATGCTCGCACCTGAAAACGTAAAAATAAGAACGTTGCTTCGGTAGCTATGCTTGATTAGAAGCTTACCTTTCCATAGCCTTCACCACAGAGAACCACGTCTCCTTTGCTTAGTGTACCATTTTGCACGAGTAACGTAGCAACTGGTCCCCTTGCTTGCTTCAATGATTGTGCCACTGGCCTCACGGTGAGGATTGGATCTCAAGTCTTGCAACTAGCGGGAAAGCAAGCAAACATGAGCTCCAAGCTACAAGTTTTAATGCACAGTACCTCGGCAACAAGCATGACCGTCTCCAGTGACGAATCAATGTTCTCTCCTGTAAGAGCACTAACCGAAACCATCTGCTCTTCTCCACCCCACTCTGGTGGAACTACACCCGCTTTTGCAAGCTCTTCCTTGACACGATCAACGTTTGCTCCCGGCTTGTCAATCTACAACGAAAGGAAGAGTTTAGTCACAAGAACGAATGATCTCATATACAAACAATACCTTGTTGATAGCTACGACAATTGGAACCCTGGCAGCTTTGGCGTGAGCTATTGCTTCCAAAGTCTGTGGACGGGTTCCATCATCTGCTGCTATCACGATAATTGCAATGTCTGTGATTCGTGCACCACGAGGTCGCATAGCACTGAAAGCGAGAACAAGAAAGCCTTTAGCATTTCCAAAGAAGACATGTACCTGATGCCCCGGTGTGTCAAGGAAAACACACGTTTGCTCCTCCCCATCGACTGTCACAGGCACTTGATATGCACCAATTGCTTGTGTGATTCCTCCAGCTTCTCCGGCAGCCACCTGAATCATGAATGCAGAGAACTTCCTACATGAGAAACAAAAAAGAAAAGAAAAGAAAAGAAAGAAAAAAGAAATAGTCTGTAGCACAAAACAACATCAAAGTGTCAAAAACAAAAAAGAAAGATCGAAATCAAAGTTCTCGTAATTACCTTTCCATGATCAACATGTCCCATGACTGTTACCACTGGTGGACGTCTCTCCAGTGACTCCAACTCTTCTTCGTCGAGGAACTCCTCCTCCTTCTTGGCCATGTCCTCGACTTTGACAGAGCCGGCTTCGATAACTTCCACTTTGTATTCATTGCGCACAATTTTCACAGATTCTTCATCCAGCATCTGGTTGGTCGTCACTGCTATTCCCTTCGTGAACAAGACCTTGACAACGGCCGCGCCAGCTTACTCGCCAAGTCTCCACGGTCATTCCCTGCTTCCCCACCTCCAAAATCTCCACTTTCACCGGAGCCGAGGCCTTTGCAGCCTCTGCTCGCTCGGCTTTCCTTCTAGCCTTCGAGTGCTTCCTGCCGGACTCACACCTGAAATGCTGATACCAATCTCTTCCGCGTCGTCCATGGGATTCTCGTCACGAGCAACGGTTCTGCGCTTAGCTCCATCCATCACTTCCGATCTTTTCCGCTTGTCATCCCTGGCCTTGTTCGCTAAACCCGGCTTCGATGATGGCGGACCTCCAGCTCCAGTGTCTTTGACTTTGAGACCTGTCTGCTTCTTCGTTGCCTCGTCACTCTTTGTCGAAGAAGAGCCACCCGAAGGAGGAGGGGGAGGTGTAGCGCTCGGTTCCACCACCTTCCTGAAAGTATCCACTCATCTCGGTCCCTTGGGCGCCACCGGCGGTGCCGCTGGCTTTGGAGCAATCATCGGCTTCGCTGACATGAGAGCCTCTTTTCTCACAACGGGCGGAGGTCGCATCAAAGGTGGCGAGCTGAGAATCGGAGTTCTTGGTGGTGCTGAAAGTCCAGGAGCTCTAGCGATGACGGAGAAACTCCTGGAGATGGAGCCGGAGCCGGAGCTTGTGACGACGGAGAAACTCCTGGAGATGGAGCCGGAGCGGGAGTTTGTGGCGACGAAGAAACTCCTGGAGATGGAGCAGGAGCTGGAGTTTGGGACGACGAAACCCTTGGAAATGGAGCCGCAGGAGGAGCTTGCTTCGACGCTGATACATCTGTCTGTGGAGGAGCCTTTGGTAAGTCTTGGCTTACCTTCACAGCGGTCGAGCTCTCCGGGGGCTTTGGAAAATTCGTTTGTGGGGGAGTCTTTGGAGCAACGGGCTTGCTCTTCACAGCGCTGCTGTTAGCACCATTTACCGGCGTGAAGGATTGCTGCCTTCCCATCACCGGCCTAGAACTTGGCGAATTCGTGGGAGGAGAATTCGCCAGCCTCTCCGCGCTCTGTAACACTTTGTCCAAGTTTTGCATAGCTCCACCGCCCTGGCCCTGCTGCGATGGCGCGGAAGAAGAAGCATTCTCCCTGGGCCGATAAACTTGCGCAAAGCTACCACCACTTCCACTTCCTGGCCTTCTCATCTGGTTGCATTCGCAGGAGGAGGAGGCATCATCACTGGCTTGGGCCGCGAGAGTGGGATCATCGGCGTTGGCGATGGCTTGAGCAGCGGCATACTCTCACCATCGCTCGCAGCTCCCGCGCTGGGCTTGGCCGATTTGCCACCGCCATCGTCGTCGGCGGCACTGGCGCCATCGGCATCCAACACCCGGACGCGCTCCTCGGCAAATGCCACGCCTCCTGGAGCCGCCGCCTTGCCGGAGCCGCGATCTGAGCTGCGCGCCGGGGCTGGAGAGCCCGAAAATCGCCGGATGCAGCCGCGCAGTCGGCATCGCCCCTGGGCCGGCAGACGACGAGCTGCCCTCCCAGGGCACCCAATGCGGCGCTCATTCTTTCATCATAGCTGGAGGAGAGCCTCGCACCTTTGCCGCATAGGGTCGCCCCGGAGCATCCGGAAGAACCCTAAAACCCGGAGAGAGGATGTCTGTCGCCCCGACGCCATAGCGCAATGTGGATATGCTCCACGGCATACGTGGCACTAATGGCAGGCTCGGAGGCCTTTGCAAGGCCATCGCCCGTGCGGGACCTTGGGGTTTCCGGCGGTTGGCCGGCCCCACCTCTGTTTCCCCGCTCGGATGGTCACAATAAAATATGCATTTGGTCAACGGTCATTATAAAATATTCGCTAGATTCGACTAGGGCTTTGATGCTCCAGAAATCGCGATCTGGAAATGGGCAGGAGCGTCCGAGAGGATGCGATCCACTGATATCGCGAATGCGGTGCTGGGGATGTACGCCAAGTGCGGGAGCATGGGCGAGGCATCCAGGTGCGCCGGCGCGATCTGGTGTCGTGGAATTCTCTCATCGCGGGAATTGCCGAGAATGGGCAATCGCCTCTCGCGTTGGATCTCTTCCAGATCTCTTCACTTCCTCGCGGCATTGAAGGCGTGCTGTGCCTTGGCATCGAAGGAGGAATCCACTGCCGCGATGGGCAAATAACTACACCGAGAAGCCTCGCGATTTGGCTGCGCGGACGACGTCTTCGTCGCCACCAACCTGATCGACGCCTACGCAAAATCTGGCAGCATGGAAGACGCGCAGAGAGCTTTCGATCGAGTGCCTTCGCCGGCCACGCTCCCAATCGAGATGGCGCTGCTGGGCTGCAAATCTTCTAGCGAATGGATCCTTGCTACACTCCAAACTCTCACACTTTCGTGGCGGTCTTGAGCTCTTGCTTGAGCATCACCGAGAAGGAAGAAGAAGATCATGGGATGATTATGATCAAGGTGGTGGCTCTAGAGACTGCTATGGCGATCCATTCTCGAGCAGCTAAACACCACCAAATGTGCTTGTTCGTGGCCAATGCTATGATCGAAGTCTACTCCAAGTGTGGAAGCATGGGCGATGCTCGTGGATGCCTTGCCGCGATGTGATCTAATCTCGTGGACGTCTGTCATGTCTGGATACGTCCACAACGGTGAGCCCGAGCTTGCCATAGCTCTCTTCGAGGACATGAAACATAGAGGCTTTGCTCCAGACGCTCCAGCTCTCGCAATTGCCCTGAAAGCTTGCGGCAGCTTGGCGTTGCTCAAGGCCGGGAAGAAACTCCATGCCGAGATTTGCTGGAGAGGTGGAATCCAATCATCCTTGGCTCTGCTCGTAGCTCTCGTGGATTTCTATGGTCGATGCGGGAGCATGGGCGATGCCGAGCTCGTACTCTTGCAAGACTCCATCGCCAGTAGAGACATCACCGTGTAGAACTCTCTCATGGCTGGATACAGTCGCCAAGGAAAGATGGAAATGGTTTCTAGAACTTTTCACCGATTGTAGGACGAGGGCCACAAGCCTGATGCTGCGACGTTTGTCGGAATTCTCGTGGCTTGCAGCGGTGCCGGGCTGGTTGAAAGTGAGAAGAAGTGTTTCCATGCCATGAAAATCTTGCTCGCCATTGTTGCGGTCCTGCATGATTTGATGAGCTCCAAGTATTCTGCAATCCATTCCTAAAGCCTCCGATCAAACAATTTCATTTCATCAGAACGGTTGAGCGTGCTAAGCTCAACCGTTATATTTGAGCATATCAAATATAATGTCTTATAATCGATTTGAGCAGATGCCACTCATGGGCATATGCAATCCAAGCAACTGCCATCTTGAAGAACTGATGTTATAGTTATGCATAGGCATTCATTTTAAATAAACTGCTGCTTAAAACAATAGTAAAATAAATTTTTATAGTTGATTAATCAATCATCCTATCTTTTATCTCAGGCAGAATAATATCTATGATGCAAAAAAAATGACAATTATAAAAAAAGGACATCTTATTCAGCCACACTCTATAAATTAACTAAGACCTGGAGCAACCTTAGCTCTGGAAATCGTAAGTCCATAGAATGCCATATTAATATTAACCTCTAAAGGGCCTTTTAGGGCAACAATAAATTGAAGATTGGCAGTTCAACACAGTGGGTGTTCTTTCGAATTCCCTCTTGGATTCTTAGTTGATCTCAGTTTCTTGATCTTGCTCCTTGCCAGTTGCTTCAGGTATAGAGAGATTTTCTTTGGTCATCTTTGGTACACCTTTGGTCAGCAACAAGTGCAAGCCTTGGGTTCTGCAAACTGCACAGAAACTATTCAAGTTAGCAACAAGTGCAAGCCCCAAGGCATCCAAGTGGGTTGTGCAAACTGCATAGAAACTAGGATAGCCTTCTCTCATCAATCGTCAAGTAAACCAAATAAACTTCTAACAAATAGCTTGTTGTGGTGGACTCACACTAAAAAATGTGAATGTGGATGTGGGCATAAAAGATGATGTGGGGTGTTGTGAATGTGACTGTGGGTATCAAAAACTATTTGTTGGTTAATCCTTTCAGATATTTTTTCTTTATTGCCACAATGACAAGAAGTTAATATTGTTAAACCCTTTATCAATCCCTTTGAGTTACCTAGGCATTTCATTTAGACCAGACGAGCATAAGGATGAAATTCCTACATACTATTAGCTAAACATATTTAGCCTAGTAAGGAGTTTTTGTTTCATTATGTCTTGCACTGGCTAGTAATAAGAACCCTCACATATTAAGATTAGTCCTTTAATATCCCTAGATAATAGCTTACTGTGTTTGCCAAACACCCTTGCTATTATACACTTTATGTTAGTTCCATTCGGTCTTAATTGCTATTTATGGAAAGTGTTTAAATTTGCTAATTTGGCATATTTATGGAATGTAGAGATTGTCTTGAACACAATAGTGTTTGTCCCATGACCAAATCTAGCACCATTCCATATTTAATAAGTTTCAAGTTATAACTCTTGATATTAAAGGTGGTGTAAGTGACTAAATTTTCCATTTTACTTTAATCACTTAACCACACTAGAGAAGTCTCACTTACAACCTCTATAAATCCTATTTCCTAACTTGGGATATACTAGCCCTATGAAGAGCATCTATACCACTTAACCTTTGCATTTGGTCCAAGTGCCCCATGTGTTCAATCCCATGATTAACATTCAAAGGTACTACTAATATATTAACCCATTATGCTAAGGCCATACCCATTCATGCTTGTCACATTAGTAGTCCAAAATCACCTATATCACAATTCTATCTTTAAAAAATTAAACCATTTATCCATGAGTGGTCATCCTTTGATCACACCTTAGCACCCTTAGGATGCCATAACATATAAGGAACACCCTTCCCCAATGTCCCTTCTTCCATCTCTACCAAATCCCTCTTCATCCATGATCATGCTTACCAATACTGCCACTAGGTCAAGGCCCAAAGGCTTGACCACTAAGTCCCACAATCCTCTGGGACTTCTTTATTATGTGACCGTATCCTTCCATAAAACTACTCTTCTTCTTTTCCACAGTTTGGGACTTTGGGATGACAGTTGAAACACTATGGCCCTATGTGAGACTTATGGGTACTCTCCCCACCTTCTGCTTTTGAGTGTCCTGGCCATGGGACTAGAGTGAGGTTCTATTGAGCCACACTAAATATCCAAGTAGGTAGTGCTACCCACACTTAGACTGAGAGTATCGACTTTTCGATCTTTTAGGGGAACTAAAGCCAACTTTTGAACATTTCACTAAGTTACCCTGTTTGTTGGTATGTATTCACTTTAGTCTTAGACTCCTCGGTGGATATATCATCACCCAACATGTGGGCATAGCCCTCCTAAGTCACACTAGAGTTTCCTAGCTAAATTGGTTCTATTGGAGTCCAATCCCCACACTCTTTTTACTATACTTTTGGAACCCCTTGCAGTCCCCCGCCCCAATAGCCAACAACTTATATTAGTATTCAGACTCAAACTCGGACTTGGACTCAATCTGGGTCTCGAACTTGGACTTGGTCTTGGTCTCGGTCTTGGTCTCGGTCTCATCTCGGTCTCATTTGGGGTCCATCTCAAACTCCATCTTGGATCCATCTCGGACTCCATCTATGGGTTTATCTTGGACTCTATCTTAGACTCCATCTCAAGTCCATCTCAGGTCTATCTCAGACTCCATCTCGGACTCCATCTCAAGTCCATTTCAAACTCCATCTCAGGTCCATCTCAAACTCTATCTCGGACTCCATTTTAAATGCATCTTAGACTCTATCTCGGATCTACCTTGAACTCCATCTTGGACTCCATCTTGGGTCCATCTTGAGTCCATTTTGGCTCCATCTTGGCTCCATCTCGGACTCTATCTCGGGTCTATCTCGAGTCCATCTTATATCCATCTCAACACTTCCACGTGTTAGTTATTAGTCCTTTTGTGTCCCTTTTCTAAAAATTCACTTATTATTTGCTTTGTTGTCGCAAATATGACTTTGAGTATCGAAAGTTACCTGTCGGCCAATCCTTATGGACACTTTTTCTTACTACCATGATGGCAGGAGGTCTATATTGCTGGTTCCCTTTATCATCCCCTCTTGTTCAAGTGTTAGTTTACTGGGCTTAGCACCTGTACTTAGTCAAATGGACATAAAGTAGAAACTTCTATGTGTTTCTAGTTGAGCATACTCGGCCTAGCTCTTAGTTCTCTTTTGCTTTGTTTTGCACTGGCTTGATAAGAACCCTCGCATATTGAGATTAATCCCTCAATATTGCTGGATGATAATTTACCGTGTTTGCCAAACACCCTCGCTATTATGCCCTTTGTGTTAGTCTCATTTTAATCCCAATTACTATTTATAGAAAGTGTCCAGATTTGCTCATTTGGCATATCTACGAAATGTAAAAATTGTCTTGAACACAATAGTGTTTGTCCCATGTCCAAATTCGCAATCTAAAAATGTTCCATATTTAGTAAGTTTTGAGTTTGTCCTAGAGACTAACTCCTAATACTAAGGGAGGCTTGGGGTGAAAGCTCAAAGTGTGTGTTCCTCGGGGGGGGGGGGGG